CGCATGTGTCACGGCCTCGAGATATTCCATCTCCTCCTCCTCCTCCTGTTTCTCCTCCTTCTTCTTCCTCTTCTTCTTCTTCGTCTTCTACTCGCCTTCTTCCTCCTCTTCCCGGCTCTTTGTTCACAAAAGTTCGGTTTACCTCGTTGCCTTCTCCGAGACCAGGTCTGTCCGGGTGTCTGCTTTTTTTCTCGTCTATTTTTGCGTCAGCTTCTTTCGGAGCGCGCGAACGAGCCTCGAAACCGTTCGAGGGGCCGGTTCCGCTCGTGGAAATAGAGAATCACCTACGCTCCCCAAACGATTCTGGCAAACGAGCGTCGTTTTAATTAAACATCTCGCGCTGCAGCAGCGCGATACCGTCGATAACGTGTGGCCACCGGTCGTCCCTCAGGGTTGCGACGCTGCAGCACCGGGATGCTTTTCCCTGCCGATTGTCGCCGTGTCGGGCGATCGACCGAGTAGAAAGTGGTCGCGACAGCTCGTTCGCCGCGAAAGTTACGCCGACGTTGATCAAAATAAATTAAAACACGCATACGAATGGCGGCGAATCGGTGCCGGCCGGGGCAGGATGATCGCGAGGACGATCGTCATCGCGTCTCGTCGTCCAGTTTCACGGCGGGACGCTATTTAAGTGCCACCGGCTGTAAATTATCGGACGAAATTTGTAGCTGGCGGCTATGGGGCGTCGAAATATCTTACGACTATTTAGCGCGACGTGGAATCCCGTTTTTCGTAAACACGTCCACGGGGCGAAAGATATGGACGCGATATAAAGAACGCTGGCGACGTCTCTATCCCCTTTCCCCTTCTCTTCTCTTCTCTTCTCTTCGTTCTTTTTCTTCTTCTTCTACTCGTTTTAATTCGACGAGCATTTTTTCTCGCTGCGAGAAAACAAAGGGCGGTAGAAGGGGGGGGGGAGGGGGGGGGGGGGGGGAGTGAAAAATCGTGCGCGCGTGAAAATAATGTTTTCGTTGATCCTATTTATCACGTTTCTCCGTAGGCGTCCTGTCGCGCCCGGCCTTCGATTTCGACACGCACTCTACGAATAGAAAGATGGCTACGTGATCGAGCAGTCTTCCACCGACTCATCTTCCTCTCTCCTTCTCCGTCTCTCTGCTCCCGAAGGAAACGGAATACGCGAGACGAAGACTCTCTTCATCAACGCGACGATACACCGGGTCGTCCCTCTTCGCTCCCTTCGTCTGCTCACCGAAGCTCGTTCTCTCGAAATAACTCCACGCCCCTGCCGTATTAATTACCAGGGATTCATTTCATCCTCATTTACCGCGAGCTAATTTACCGCGGAGAGAAGCCTGCGCGATATATGTACGTGCGTACGTACGCAACCCTTCCCTCGTGAGTGCTCTACGCGAGAGATCGACGACGCGCGCGCTGCCTTTGGGAAGCGATTAATCGCGGGATCCGCGCCGCCGTTGCCTACCTAGAACAACGCTGGAGCATCGTCCGTGCAACATCGGAGCGAATAAACGTCCAGGGGAAATTAATACACACGAGGCGGGGGTATATATATTTTTGGAATAATCCGCGCGGTGATTAACTCGGCTCGCGGGGAGAAGTCGCGTTCGACACGGCGCGCATTCGGACACGGAAAATATTTATCTAGCACGATGCGCTCCACTTTGCTGCTCGAGATAACACACCGCGGCGCAAAAAAGTTAACCTACAAATAATTTGCTCGGAGCTTTTTCATTCCGTCGTTAACACTGTCGTTTCGCGTAGATAATAATTTATAAACGTCATAACCTTACGCGCGATTATCTCAATACTAAATATTAATAACCGCCAATTATACGTATGCGTCGAATATACTGCGCTAGCAAGCAACAGTCTACGGACATTCTACGCGCTACGCAAATATGTATCGTAGACTCCGATATATATTCTGACCTAATCGTGTGATTATTCAAACGCGATGGAAGTCGCGGCCGCAACGAGAAGCGCTCGAGCGCGCAACCTCTCGAGACGAATTCTTCGTCCTCGCAACGAGAGAAGTTATTGACACGGAAAGTGTTAGTGGATCGAATGACAAACACACTGATTATTGATAGATTTAATATAAATTATGAAACACGTATAACGTTTAACTCTCATCGATTCACTTTCTGTCTCGTCTCTCATTCTTTGCGTCTGGGGATCTTCCCGATCACAACTGTTTCTCGTCACCATGCTCGCTCTCAATTATTCTCGCATACGTCTCTTTCATTCGTTCTTTCTTCTGCCATGAAATATATCAAACACTCAGATCACACCACACCACAATTATATGCACACTCTCGCCACACTCATCCTTCCATACAAACATTATGTATATTCATTCCACAATATATAATAACTATCTATGGTAACCACTACTACATAAAGCACTACTCGCTCCGTTCGTAATTAAGATCTATTGACATATTTATTGTCTCTGCGTGTTTGTTGCTTCGGCTCCATTTCGATGTTGTTTATATATTATTTATAATTTCGCTTCTTAGCAGCGTGGCGTGTGCAACAGGTACGACGTCTGTTACGATCGGGACAGACATCATGTTATCTTCGTTCAATGCAAATATTGTATATACCGTAGAAATTATTCTTCTCTCGTTAATTGAACAGTTACCGCGATGCTAATATCTCGTTCTCCTTGCGCGATACCGATCTCATTTTCTCAAGCAGCAGTATGACGTAAACTGTCGGCCTGTAGGATTGCACGTATAGAGACGATGTTCGTCAACAATGTTAATTATCGACACGAGGCTCGACCTAGGTCAATTCCCATCAGTCGTTCGTTCTCTTTTCACGTAGAAACGTTGCGTTTTCTTTCTCGTGTCTCTTTCGATTTCCGGTGAAAACGTGGCTGCAACTCGCTCTTACAGAGCATGTCGTTTCTTTCTCTGTATTCTCAGCGAATTGATATCGCACGCCGTAACGCAATAATTCTTTGTTACATAAAACATGAAAACAGTCTTTCTCGGAGCATGTACTACAATTAGACCGGAAAACGATGTACACGTTAAGATACTTGTTGTCGTTAATTTACGTTGTGCGAGGTAAATACACGCCGTGACGGTGGTATAGTATAGGGCGCAGATACATGCCGGGGGTATTTTTGACGAAAGGAAGGGAAAAAAAGAAAGAAGAAAAGCGCGTTGCTTTTCGCATTAGCATGCGACCGGTGTAATTTTCGTGCGATATTTGCGATCGTTTGTGAGAGCGCAAACACGGCTCGTTGGCCAACAGTTTGACTTATTCGATCGACTACCCGACGATAAATTTCCGTTTAATTTATTCGGTCTCGAAAGCCTTCGCCGTATAAGCCTCGGCTGTCATTATACAAAATTACGTGACAATTATTGCTATCGGAGGACCCTGATCACGGGCGAACATCGATGTCGCGCTACATACATAATTCCAGCCACGCGGCAAGAACTGTACGTACGTACGTGTACCTTCCGTCGAGAAACCTCGATCGAAGATTTTCGAAGTGGATTACTTTGCCTCGTCCTGCTTCGTTATTTACCTCTTTCTTTTTCCCCTACGCTCGGGCTTCTTCTACTCGCGTTGACGAGATCCTTTTCAGGAGTTAATTGTCGTGTGTCATCCGTTGTTTAATAACGGCAGATACCGCTACTCCATGCTCGATTATCGTCCATTAAAGTAACACGGAATTGCTATCGAGTTATCGAGCACGCATTTATAATCGGATCCGCGGCGATAAGCCTGCGGTATCACCTGCTTTTGAAATTACCGTCATTACCGCTATTAGTCCTTTGCTCCGGAATTATTTTTAAAACCGATACTACCTGGTTAACTCGTAATTTATTTCCATGTACCTGCTTTATTCGAGCTGGCGTTATTTCTTCTTCTTCCTTTCTCTCCTTTTCTTTTTTTTTTTTTTTCTTTTCTTTTTGTTTCTTTTCTTGTGTACGTACATCGATACACGGTGTTGGACAAAGTAAACATAGTTGACGGAAACGACACTATGAATCACCGACAACCGGCGAGTCACTGACAAAAGGGTTGACGAGAGATGCAGGGATTCTACACCCGTAGCGCGTTATTGCTGTATAATTTGTTTGCGTATAGTTTTGCTATACGCACCTCCGATTATACTCGCGAACGCGATTATCTAAATGTAATTCGTTCGACGGAGGTATATCAGATATCACTTCGAAACTCGTTCTTCTTAATGTTAATTCAATTAAATTTCCTATCTGGCTGATTATCTTATTATTCGGTGTTATTGCCACTTCACTTTAATCTGTTTTTTTATCGAATCGTCGACGCGTTCTGTGGTATCTATCCAGAGGTTCGCGACAATCGTAGCCCATAATGGCGAGAGTTTCGAACATAGTTTAATACAAAAATAACCCTCCTCTTCATTCATTCTCAATTTTTCAAATCAAGTTTGAATCCTTTCTCTCGAAATTCTTCGTCTATTTGTATAAGAAAGTTTGTTAGCAAGAAATGTTGTTAGTAACCGCATTGTAATCTTGCAATTTGAAATTATGTACCTATTTATAGAAGTACAATTAATTTAAAAAAAAATGACTTTAAACGTACAATTAATTTTAAAAAAAAAGAAAAGAAGTCCGACTAAATGCAACGGCTCGTTAAAACATTCGGTTCGCAATAAACATCCTTGTACGTACATTTGCGAAGTTGTTTTTAGCCTTACCTACTATTAACGATAATCGGTACGCTATTAAGCTGTTAACAAAATTTTTAAACGACTGTTAAAGCGTATGTGTCGCAAGTGTTGGACGACCGGACGAGTTACTTTTGCAAATTAGCACACGTTCAGTTTTCGTTTTTCATTCCTCGGTCAAATACCAACCGGACATCCCTGGATATTGGCCGAGGCCGATTCGAACCACGCCCGACACACACACACACACACACAGCCACGCGCGCGCGCCCATGATCAGATCGAGTCGAAAGGGGAGACGACGACGTGAATTTTCTACTAACAACTGTGAATTTCGAAACTTTTTCAGCTGCTGGTGAGCGGCGGGCAGCCAACGACGGCGACCTCGCCGGCGATGTCGTCGGGCGGCGCGCTGAGCCCCGGCGCGCTCTCGCCCTCGTCGACGGCGACAGCGACGACGAGCGGCGCCGCGGCGGCAGCCGCCTCCGGAGGGGCGAGCACCCCTGTGGCCGGCACCACGGGGCCCACCGGTTGTTGCGAGAACGGCAGGCCCATGATGACCGACCCGGTCACCGGACAAACGGTATGCAGCTGTCAATACGACAGCGCGGCCAGGCTGGCGCTGGGTGCTTACCCAAGGTTAGCACCCACTGCTACCTCCTACTCGTCTTACCCCACGCCGACGCCCTCCACCAGCGACCAAGGGCCCTACCCCAGCATCGGAATGGACAGCTCTGCCTTCTATCCGCCTCTGGTGAGTAGTTCTTCTTCTTTCGTTTCGTCTTCCTCCTCGCGATTCGCTTAGTCGCCGCTCCAGTTTTCCTTTCTCTTCTTTTTCCTCTTTTTCTTCTTTGTTTTCATTTTTTTCCCTCTCTCCCCCCCCTCTTTCTCTCTCTCTCTCTCTCTCTCTCTCTCTCTCTGTCTTTTTTCCCCTTTTCTTCCTGCAAATAGGAAGGTCGCAGGTTAATCGCACGAAGGTAATTAGCGACGTTTACGCAACGCGGCGCGATGAATTATTCATCAGGCGATTATTCAACAAAGTTGTTGCGTACGGTGAGCGTGTTTTATCGGGTGGGTGGAATTTGAATATCGCGGACGCGGAGGTTAGCCGGTGTATCTCGCGGTTTGACGTCTCTCGGTGGTTCTTCTTTCTGTGATTGCAGCGGCTACCGTTGAAGAGCGTTGGCACGCTCGCTTGCAGATTCCTTACAACTGCTTACAATTAGAAGCGGCGAACCGCTTCGCTCGTTCTAATCGAAAGACTTACGACCGTTTGATATTTATAAACCGCGTGCGATCATTAAACGGTTTATTAGCTGCGTTTCGAGAGACGAGAGCGGATCTCCTCCTCTTTGTGTTCGTCCTCGCGATGCTCCTGCAATATAATACGTCTCGTAGCAGCGTTTCACCCGCGAAACGTTTCGCGGCCGGTAGATTGATCGAGTCGTCGTTCTAGGCGTGCCGGACGATTATTACTGCCGTTGGCCCGAACCCGAGACGGATTAGCGGTCGGCACTGCCGCGAATTAGCTTGGAATCCCGATGACGGAGGCACGCAGACGTGTCTCCTCTCTCTCTCTCTCTCTCTCTCTCTCTCTCTCTCTCTCTCTCTCTCTCCTCGTTTCTCGCCGATGGATCGCCGGCCGGCCGCCTAGAACCACCGAGAAATCCATACGTCTGGCCATACGTTGCGCTTTCTAGCACCAGCCTCGCTCGCCCGGCTGCGTCGAATTATTCACGCGCGGCTGTCGAGAGTCGAGCGATAACCTCGTTCGTTTGAGACCGTTCTCGCTTCGCGGAAGACGCGTCTCGCTACCTCTAACGAGAGCCCACGTGATGGATTCCCCGGTTATATTTCACGAGGCGAATCTCTCGCTCCGCGGAGATCCCCTCTCCCGCCGCGCGTCTCTTGCGAAACGCGCGAGACGATTTTCGTCGCTTGCGAGGAAAAAACGCGTAGCTAAGAATAAGTCTAAGTGGCGTTGTGTCGGTCGCGTTGGGCAAAGACGAGAGAGAGAGAGAGAGAGAGAGAAGACGAGGCTCGCGTGCTGTCCAGTGAAAAAGTCGTCGCTGGGTAATTAAGTCACCGCGGACATTGAAATTGTACAGGGAATCGGTATCGCGTGCAGGACGCGAAGAAATGGGTAGGCGGAGCGAGGGACGTTCATGTTTCTTCGTTGTAAAACTTGTTCGTCGATCAACGCGACGAGACGGGACGAGGACACGAGACGGAGAGAGACTTCTCGTTGGCGTACACGTGTTTAGCCCGAGAGGAATGCGGACGGTTTGTGGTGCGCGCGTAGGGTGCACAGGATATGCACAGGCGATCGGTTATTCCCCGCGAGGAGAGCCCGTTTAAAGCGTTTCGTTGCTCGATCTTGCCGCCGCCCGCAAATTTGTGGAAATAACGGTAAGAGACAATACGTAATGCGTGGACGTGCGATGCGACGTGGAGAGTTATCGGACGATGTGTTACGTGAACGGATGAAGTGTTTTGAGCACGACAAAAATCAGCACGAGGAAAGAGAAAGAGAGAGAGACAGAAAGAGAACACTCGTGTATAGCAAAACTGTTTGCGCGTAATCGCGAGCGTATCGACGATTGCCTGATAAAACGCGTCCGACGTGGACACGTAGAAATAGGCGGGCGATTGTATCGGCGTTTCGGCCAATTTATATCTGTATCCACTCGAGCGTGGATACTCACCACCGGGAGGTAGAAACGATAAAAAGATTGCCGTGGAAAACACGCTCGGTCCGCCAGATGTTGCGAGCCCATTTGAAGCGACTTCGAGCCCGTGAGCGGCGTGCTTCGAACCCGAGAGAAACGGACAGATAGACAGACAGAGAGAGCTGATAATTAAACTCTCCGTTTATTCCCGGCGACGCGACATTCTCCTTTTTGCCGGCCGCAAGCTCTCCGTGGCCCCTTTAAAACGAACGATAACCGCATTAATCCTTCCCCGCTGGGGAGTGAAAGGTCAATCCGAGACACACGGGCGTATGTATATCATACGTCAGCGTTTCAGTATCGCGTCGGCGAATTTTTTTATCGTACGAAACACGCGTTTCCTGTGGCCGTGTGCCCGCGTTTGCTTTCCTTTCTCATATCGGCCGATCGTTCGCGCAGTTTCCACCCGAAACTGCCCGAGAATACCTTGCTACACCTCGGAGTAATAGCAGCCGATAATGTTATCGTTGTCGCTTAACTTTCGGCGCGCGAGATAGAGAAAAATAAAGGATAGAGGATGGAGGGAGCGCGACCAATTAAATTTGAATTTATCGACATAATTATACTAATTGATTGTTCCGGACGAAATCGCTGAACAATCGATCTCGCGCACGGCCAAGACCGGTCGAGACTGATTGGACAAAAGCAGGCAACGAGTTCCAGGTAGAGAGTGAAGTCCCTCTATGGCACCGTCCGGAGTGACTCGTCATTCTACCGCTCGAACGATCCGAGCTGTTTAAATCTCAACTAGAAAAACATAATCGAAATCAAATTGAAACTCCAGTTCAGCCTCTGAAACGCTCTTTCGTCGACGCGAAGCGTCCACGTAAAAGTAAAATTCCACGAGCTCAGGAATAGTTCTGTGACAGAAGAAGTGCTGGTTTTCTTATCTCAGTGGTCTGCTCCCTCTCCTTTTTCTCTCTCTTATTAACGGTACAGCTGTAAATAAAGTAAAGCGACGACACGAATTTTAACAATATTATAACGATATTCTATTTGGCTTGTCTCATAAAAAATTAATTGCTAGTTTGGAAACTTATTATATTTATAATAAATTTGAACTATTTTGACGTGTACATATGTGTGCATGTATCTTAATTAAGAAAGTTTCAAATAAAATATTCGTCGACATTTGTACATATCGCATGTGCCCATCCGTAATACATAGTGCATTGAATCTGATTTTGCCCCAAATATTAAATACTTATACTTCAGTAGATGAAAAAAGTGTCAAGATAAGTAATAAATATAATAAGTAATAAAAAAATAAATAATACTCTATAAAATAGATCGCTGTAAACACTACTTCCGTGACAGAAGAAGCGCTGGTTTTCTTATCTCAGTGGTCTCTCCCTCTCTTTTTCTCTCTCTTTAACGGTACAGCTATAAACAGGGCAAAGCGACGACGCGATGTAGACAAACTGTAACCGAGCGGTTCGAGTGGTTTGAAACATCCATATCGTGGCTCGTGATGTTCACGTTTAGGACGAAATTTCCACCCCGAATCGCGCGTTCAGCCAATCGGCAACGCGGCTACTGCGATAACGAGCGGGCGGCTTTCATTGGGCGAAATTACACGGCCGCTTTCCACGCGGCAGCAAATGGAAAGAACCGAACGAGACGCGCAGATAACGAGAGCGTGTCCCGTGACGCTTGAATTTTCACTGTTTTCGATTGTTACCGAAACTTTAGCCAGCGCGTCGGTCTCACGAATAAGCTGATTCTCCAAAGTTGGTCAGTTGTCGTCGCGACTCCGATAACGCGCGCTCGCGTGGTACCGATTCTTTCGAACCTCTTATCTCCGCCGCAAACGGTGACCGCGGCTTTTTGATCTTTGCCGCGCAATCACTTCTCGACTCGCCGCTGATAACGAGAGATAGCATCGCTCCTTTGCTTATCTCGACTATCGTCTTCCAACTGAAACGTACCGATTCACACTTGGTTCTTCCCAGTGGCTTGCGTTTTCACGATTAACGACCGTTTCATAACAAGTGGATATCGATAATCAGTAATAACCGCGCTGATTGTACCATCGCCGTGGCGGAAGAAAAATATATGCTCCATTACACAATTTGCCTGATTGTGAGGATATACAGCGATTGCGAAAAGTAGGATAAAACCGAGTACTTATTATATTTCGTACTTACTTGGATGGCAAAAAAAAAAAAAAAATAGAAAAATTCGCACAAGGCTAAATTTTTTAATTGTACCTTGTACAATAAGGAAATGAGCAAACTTTTTGGAAAAAAATTGTTCAACTCACGGGACAATAAAATTTTCTGATAGTATACAAATATGTACTCGAGTTTGCCCTATAAAGGTGAGTAAAACCTACTAAAAGACATATAAAATGCAACACAGTTGTAAAATTTTTATTTTCATTAGTCAAAAAATAGTAAAAACAAGCTTGCTTCTAAGAAATATAAAGTTATTCTATTTGGCCTGTCTTATAAAAAATTATGTTAATTACTAGTTTAGGAACTTGGGGATTATTTTAATGTATAAATATATGTATATGTATCTTAATTAATGAAACAAAAATCGCAAATAAAATATTCATCGGCCTTTTCCACACTTGTATTGATCAATTAGGTGCGAACGTGACAAATTCCACGTCGTTTGCGAGATTTCTATAAAAATAAGGATAAGCAAATACTTTAATAGTCACTGTACTGCAGAAAACGAGAGCTATTATTAGTATTCTGCCTTGTTTCAGAGGCCTCGTTACAGCCACGCAGCCACACAGCACTCGCGATTCTAACTGATAGTACTCTCTTGCACAATAATGCATGAATCAATATTAATGAATTGACAATTAACAAGCTGTCGGCGTGGATTATACATCTCTTTAACTGACTCGCAATTGATAAAACTGACGAGTATAGAATTACGGTAGTTTATTACTAGAAATAAATTACGCGGCATTATGAGTGCTGGAACGTTTGAATTCTTTCTCGCAGCCTGACTTTAGTCTCCGCTGAAAACTAGAATTCGACTGAACAAGTTGCGAGTACGAACATTGCGT